TTTTTGCCAGAACATTGTGTCCTTTGGGAAAAGTAACAGGATTACCGTTTGGGAAAAGTAACGACTTTTCGAAAGGATTACCGTTACACGTGAATTTCAAATAAATTCAGTTGCGCCAAATTAATTTTGTTAGTTAACTAGCATTCTGAATTAATTTATAAGAGAAAGGAAATGGTTTAACAAGATTGATTAAATAAATTTTGTCCAAAAATATTATTAATCAATCACATCATTTGCCAAAGCCGAGCGAGCGACGACGATGGCGCAAGGGAGCACCTTCTTCTTAACCCTTTAAGAACTAAATGAAGTGTTTCCTAATATAAGGACAACAATTTCCTTTCTTCTACCAATATGGTAAAAATGACCTTTCATTTGCACTTTTGCAATGACTTTTCATTTTCCTTCCAAAATTGGTTCCCCCACTTCCACTTTCCATTTTCTCTTTTTATTTTCCATTCACACCTTGCTAAACTCAACAGAAAGTATATCACCAGTTTTCTTCATGCTTTCATGTCATCAAACATATCAGTTTTACGTCAATCAAATGAAATGTATAGTATAACAGCATTCAAAATTCAGTTCATTTGAGATTCCACATTGGCATGACATGAGATGCATTTGACAATAAGGGTCTCACTGATGCATACACCGACAAAATCCTTTCAGTCCTTGTTCCTATCTTCCCTTTCATGCATTGGATGCAGTAAGGGTCATTTCATTCTTAAACTGCAATGACTGAAAAACAATTCCAGCTCTTCCTAGGTTCTACCTATTACTGCAAGCATTGAATGTGCAACATATCTAGACCAAGATTTAATTCGATTTAGAAGAGACATCGAAATCAGCTAGAGCTGAAATTAGTTGGTGAGAAAATGGATGAATTTAGTATAACACACAAAAGAAGTTCTATTATCTCACCAATCGTCTAGATTTCCAGAAAATAAGTACTCCTTTATCCCAATTTATATGGCACACTTAAGCCTGTCCTCAAAAAAATGTCACATTTCTTCAAAGTCCTATTTTATTCTATTAAGATGTCTTATAGCCTTGCAATTTCATTTTGTCTTTTTGATAACTGTGGTGTCGCCAACTTTCACACATGACAAACCCCAACTAATTCCACAGGATATGTGCTACCAACCTCAGGGTCTCAACCCTACTTGATTGACCACTAGGCCACAACAGTGCTTATAGCATCACAACTTTTGGGGATTCAGCAGGTACCACAGCTAAAACAGCAACGGGAAAAGGCTCCGTCTTGGTAACCAATTGAGGCAAATGCTGGGCTGGTAATGGCTATGGGTCGTGGAACGAGTTCTCCAGAACGATAAGACCCACCCAAAATCAGGACGATAATGGGGAGAATGGAAATTGGGATGGTGCGAAGGGAGGTCAGCAACAAAATGGTGGTTCTGATGCAGCTGAGGCTGAGACTGGTGTCGATTGAAGACGTATTGTATCTGAGCACAAATGAAATCAACCTTATGAGCTAAGTCATATCCAAGCTTACACTGAAACTCCTGAACAATGGTGATGAAAGTGGGGTTGGGGTTAGGGTTTGGTTCACGGAAGAGGGATTCCGCTCTAGCTATGTCCTCATCCAGTGGCGGATCCAGGATTTAAAGGTTTGCTCACTTCCTTTAACATAAACATGTTAGCAATCACATAGTGTAAGCGTATACTAACTCAAACTCTTTAATAAAAAAAGTAAACGTATACTAACTCAAACTCTTTAAATAAAAAAGTAAAAAATAAAACAACGATTAATATTATCATCATAAAAACAACCACTAGCTATAAGTCACAATGACCTACTAGTAATATTATCATTACAAAAAGAGACTTCTTGTCTTAAAGTTATAATTGTGCTCGACGACTTTTCATATGTTGAAAACGATAAATAATAGCATCATTGCTTACATTTGCGAATATCTTACGCTCTACATAGCAAACTAAACAACCATTCAAAAATTCATCACCAATACTATTGCGAAGTTCATTTTTAATATACTTCATGGAAAAGAAAGCTCGTTCCACAGAAGCAGTAGCAACGGGAAGAATGAGAGTCAACTTGATAAGCAAATAAACAAGTGGCCAAATTTGATGCAAATCTGACTTGACCAATACTTTAGCAAGATCACTAATTCCTTTCAAGTTGAAGAACCTCTTGTCAGAACCACAGACATAAACTATAAAGCTATCAAGCTGAAAACTGAGATCCCGAAGCTTGTTGTTGTCAAACTCATTCATATAATATTCAGTCAACCTCATTATCTTGCCCTTATCAAAACTACCAAATGAATTAACTGGATTCAAACTAGCCATACCGAGAAGTAAGTCAGTACTCACAGCATCAAAACGATTATTAAGCTCTTGAAGATGCAAATCAAGAGCTTTACGCTTTGACTTCCCAAGAAAGTAGCTAGCATCCATCTCCGGAATGACTATATCATGTTTATCACAAAAAGAAGAGACATCATCCATTAATGATTCGAATTCATTATCCCTCATATTTTGTAATCTTTGCTTTGTAAGAGCAAGAAATCCCATAGCATTGACAATATCTTGATCCATCATTTGCAATGAGGAGCTCAATTCATTTGTCATCATATGAACTTTCCACATCAGGTGTAGCATAAAGGAAAAATCAAATTTCTTAATCGTATCCACAAGAGTTTTAGCAAAAAGTCTATCAGTATAGTTTGGACACTCGCATCCAGTAAATTCAAGCACATGAATAACTGATGGAAATAGAACAATAAGATTATCTAATGTTCTATAATGAGAACCCCAACGAGTATCACCTGGCCGCTGAAGCCCACGTTCTTGATTTAATCCTCGCCCAGTATGCACTTCCCCTGATATGAGCAACTCCTCTAACTGTTCAGCTTGGTGTTTCCGAAGTAAATCCCTGCGCTTAAAAGATGCTCCAACAATATTTAACACATTAGTAACTAAGCAAAAAAAGTCATCTACATTTGAATCCTTCTTTGCAAGAGCCACTAGTGTTAACTGCAATTGGTGGGCAAAACAATGAATGCAATATGTCGATGGAGTCTCATTTAAAATCAAAGTTTTAAGACCATTTAGATGTCCTTGCATATTGCTAGCTCCATCATAACCTTGCCCACGTATTTGGGATGGACTTAATGAGTGATCTGAAAGAAAAGAGTATATTGCTTCCTTTAATGAACAAGCAGATGTATCACTAACATGAATAATACCAACAAATCGCTCTATCACTTCTCCTTCTTTGTTAACATATCTCAAAACAAGTGCCATTTGCTCCTTGTGTGATACATCCTTTGATTCATCGACTAGTATCCCAAAATAATCCCCATCTAAATCTTCAAGAATAGATTTGATTGTTTCCTTAGCACAAGAATCAACAATATCCTTTTGAATACTTGGAGAACACATCATTTCATTTTTTGGAGCTTTTTCTAAAATAATGCTTCCAACATCTTCATTAATATCTCCATACCATTGCAAAAGTTCAAGAAAAATACCTCTATTTGAAGAAGATCGACTCTCATCATGTCCACGGAATGATAATCCTAATTTCAAGAGAAATCTGTCACATCAACTAAAGCACTCAAGCGACGCCGATACTCACTTTTTTTCTTTCTGGGACTTTTTATCAAAGGAAGTGCGTATTGACTGTGATTGATTCATCAAATCAAGCATCTTGTTGAAACACTTGTTGTGGATGCTATTTATATCTCCAACATGAGCTCTAAATCTTTCAGTAGCTTTGTTCCAAGCTCTATAGCCAGTCTTTGTGAAAGCAGCATCAACCACATATCCACGACTTTCACATTCATTTTTAAACAAATAGCAACACAAACAAAATGCAGCATCTTTTGTTATGCTATACTCCAACCACTTACGACCATTAAACCAATCAGGAAAAAATTGCCGCATTACCTTCTCAAACTTAGTTTTAGGAAATTTATGATCCTTAGGTTGACAAGGCTTTTTAAGAATATAATATCTCCTAATATCATCACGTATATTAGGATTATATTCTGCAATGGGCTTTCTAATTCCCGGATCAGCTTCAAGAGATTCTAAATCAACATCTGAAATAAATGTTTTCCTTTGAATTTTCGGAGCTATGGTTGAAGCGGTAGATGGATGAGTAGAGGCTGTAGAGCTAGAACTTGGATGCCCAATTTTCGATCTTGTGACATACTTATCCATCTCAATTTACAAAGATAAATTTCTGCAAAAAAATCAATTTTATCATAGAATTAATTCACATAATTCAATTAATTTTTATTGAAATCTATAACTTTCTATCAACAACCCAAACAACAATTAATATATCTATTTGATCTTTCAACACCACAAGCAATAATTAGCAATATATGAGTCAATGAACACAAAATTTTCAATTGCACAATTTGTTATTTGTATACATCCTAAAATTTAATTTTTGAATCAAGTAAGTTGGTAAGAAAAAAAAATTATTTCAAAAGTATTCAAAAAAAACATTTTTAATCACAAAACACTAAATATGTGAGACTCTAAAGTCTAAATCTATTTATCAAGTAACAAAAAAAAGTATGTGGAATATATTTTAAGAATTAAGACTTAAAGAGTACTAGCCATAAGCAATGAAAATCTCAAAACCTAACTTCCCTAACCTTTTTTTTCATTATCTAACTTTAATCAAACATTAAATCTTATTACCTTACTTTTGTATTTTGATTTTGAAAAGAAAAAAGCTTGAAGTTTGTTGTTGGGTACTTGGGTTGGCTACTTTCTCTTTGAAACAAGAAGAAGAAAAGAATGATTTCCTCTTTTTGTTAAAAGAAAAAATCCCATAAAAGTGGGCAGTGAAAAAGGTTTTAAAACATACAAAAAGTTAAAAATAAAAACGAAAGAAAAAGTTAGTCACCCTAAACTAATTAAGAATAGGAAAGTACAAAACAAGTACAAAATTACGGAGTAAAATAAGCCCTTAATTAAAAAAAGGAAAAGAAAAAAAAAAGGTAGCAAAATTCGCTGGAAAAAGTAAAAAAAAGAAAGAATGGGGCTGACGGGATTCGAACCCTCGCCCTCATGCTTCGCGCGCATTATTTTTCCAAGTGTTAACCAGCGCACCCACGACTGCTAGTGTTCTATGGGTGCTTATTTTTATTTAATAATGTATTTATCATATTTTCTCTATATATATACAATTTTTTTTCCGGAGTCAATGGGTGCTCGAGCACCCAAAACTGACTACGTGGGTCCGCCCCTGTCCTCATCGGACACCATTGTTCGTCCTCCACAACAACCATATACTACTAGTAGTATTATGCTCAGTTGATAACTGTCACTGCTTCTCTTTATAACTGAAATTAACGGTCTCTCTCTATAACTCTGTTTTACTCGATAGTCTCTCATGCTATTGCATTCTCACTCTTCTTGTTCTTCATTTAAACGACTAAATTATCCTCTGTTTTTAATTTAATTATTTTGTTTTAATCTTACAAGATTTTAAAAAATTATAAATTTAAATTAAAGATACGTAGAAATTAGAATATATCAAAGGGCAAATTACACCAATTGTACATTAAGTTAAATTTCAAAAAAACTACCTAATTACACATACATTACTACCATATATACTATATTTACCTCTAGTTTAAAATAATTACACATACTACCACTTTTAACATTTATACCATATATTTTAAAAGATATACACAAATTCCTTAAATATGATATTGAATAATTATCTTAAATTTAAAGTCCTTAATTAATGGTCCATTTAATAAGTTAAATTCTTTTTCTACTACATTTGTTTTCTCCCCCACCCCACGTCCACTAGCCCTCTTTCTTCCCTATTTCTTCCTTCATCTTCTCCGTCTTTCTTCCTTCATTCTCTCAATACATATTTGCATGTTCAAATCAACATTATGCATATAGGTTTTTTTTTATTTTTTATCATTCTCATGTATTTTGATTTTGTATTTGAGTTAAAATTCATAATATTCTGAAGTTCAATTTTAAAAAGTTTTTCAAATTAGGTTTTATATTTTTTTATGGGAAAAGGGTATGATATACCCCTCAGTTTTGTCATTTATAGCTGATATACCCCCTTGTTATGAAGGTGGCTCATATATACCCCTACTGTTATACAAATGGCTCACATATGCCCTTTTCCTCTAACGGAAGTGAAAAAATTAATTTTAGTTTAATTTTTTAATTATTTTAAAAAAATATAATCCCATATGGGTATATTTAATCCTCCTCAAACATATATTGTTTTTTTTTAACTTTTTTTTTGTTTCATATTTAGATTTATTATTTTGATGATCAAATTTATTTAAGTTTCGCTAATATTCTTATAAAATTTATTATAGATGACCCAATTTTTTCTTCAAATACAAAAACTAAATTACAATATATCTGAAAAAAATAGTTTTAAATTATAAGATAGCAAAAAAAAAAATAGTTTTAAATTTTTTTCTTTACACTAAGGAATGAAAGAAAAAATAAAATAAGAATAAGAAACTCAAATAATGATAATCAAGAAGTCAAAAAAAATTTATGTCCGAAAAAAATTATAACATATCTTGAAATTTGCTAGAAAAATCATATATACCCCTAAATGATTTAAAAAAAAAAAACCAAAAGTCAAAAATATAAATTTAAAACTAATTTTTTCACTTCCGTTAAATGAAGGGTATATGTGAGCTCATTTTGTAACGGTAGGGGTATATGGGTATATGTGAGCCGTTTGTATAACAGTAAGGATATATATGAGTCACTTTCATAACGATGGGCATATCAGCTTCAAATGGCAAAGTTGAGGGGTATATCAGATCCTTTTCCCTTTTTTTATTTTGTTATTTATCAAACACTTTAATGACTGATCATTCCTTAAATCAGATAATTCTTGTTAAAGATACTACACATTAAAGGCTTGAGAAGTCATTGGAGAAATTGGTATTAGAAAGAGGACACTGGATGATCAATATAATTATTATTTCTGTATTATAACTACAAGACCCTATATTACACACAAAACACGAATAATTCCGTGAATGAAGTTGTAAATTATCGAAAGCTAAGATATGTCATTTAGTACAAGTTCTTGTACTCATCCAAATCAAGATGGAAGAATTACACCAAATTTTAATTAACTGAACAAATACACTATTAAGTACACAATAAGTGCAACAATGTTGGATACACATCAGATGTACAATATGTATCTAGTTAAGAGTTTGTGTATCTGAGTTAGGATTATCCAGATGCTAATTTTTTTTTTTAATTCTTTTTTGGATTAATGATAAGACTGGTCTACCGTTGTGATTTGTTTCTAAATTCGTGTTCAGTTACATTTCATATTTCGATACACATAATTATATGTATATGCTTACTATGTATCCGAGATACATGTTTTGAATACAATATATGAAGTTGATACTTGATACATCAAATTAATACTAGATACATATAAATGATACATGAAATTAAAATTAGATCATATAAATAGATACATGAAATTAATATTAGATCATATAAATAGATACATGAAATAAATACTAGATACATATAACAAATACACGAAATTAATACTAGATACTTTTATGATACATATGAATGTGTTTGTATGATACTCATGTATCTAAGTGTTTAGATTGTTGGATACAACATATATTGATAATAGATACATCAAATTAATGAATTTATTATTTAGTAATAAAATGAAATTAATCAAATTACATGACCAAGATATACATATTTTTGTCTTTTATTAATAATATTAATGAATTTATTGTTTCAAAGAATAATATAATGAAATTATTAAACATAGATACACTCATTGATTTCCGCCTTATATTAAGGGATTTGATTAATTTAAATTTCCAAAATTAATTGTCCATTTGAGAGATACATGTATCTCGCGGATTCAAACTCATGTATCCTAAGCATGAAATATGGTAGAGGAAGTAATATTTGAAACTACCGGGAATCTTAGTAATTAGGACCTAAACTAGTGGAATTTATGTAGTTTGCCCTTAAATTTCTTACCCACAAAATAGCCCACTTAATAAAAAAAATTACTGGTTACATAAAATGGTCATTCGGCATTTTTAGTTATAACTAGACGAATAAGGCCCGTGCGCACACGGCCTAATAGTTATCTCTTTATATATATGAATACATTCTTTATAACTCACATAAATTGAAATAGAGTAAATATTAATAATATACAATATTTTGTGGGAATGGAAAATGACACGAAGAATGACTTAACCAAATTTTCAACTCAAGTAAGGTACAATACTCATATTGTTGGCCAATATCTTTATAAATAATTTATAAATCAAACTAACAAATAGATAAAAAAATAAGAAGGCGGAATGACCTAGTGGACACTTATACTTGACTCTGTTTGTAAGTTGGACCCTTATACTTACAATTTTGTCAACTAAACCGTTAAACTCACTGAAACACAATATTTTAAACTCTTTCCTCATCATATGTGTGCACATGTGATACACTTATTTACAAGTAGGATTCCACGTCATTTTTAATGACACATAAGAAATTAAATATTAGACAAATAAAATAAAAATAAAAAGCATACCCTGGAAATTTTATTATTTTCTCCATTTGTGCTCTCAAATTGAGCACAAATTCATGTTAAATTGGTGGAATTCTTAGCTATTTGACTTGAATTTTACACTATTGGTTCACAAACACAAACACAAACCCAACAAATCTCTATACAATTTTAAATTTATTTCATAAATTCACAAAACTCATTTGTTATTCTTGAAGCTTCATCAAGTTTATCAATGAAATTTTTCATTTTTCAATACCCACTATCATCAAAGAATACGCACGAAATCGAGATTTTGAAAGAACAAATATGGTAAAACAAAAAGAACTAGGAGGGAAATTGATTTGCAGCAAAA